TTTTAGAGGAGGTACTGGGGATTGAACCCAGGACCTCAAGCATGCTAAGCATGTGCTCTACCACTTGAGCTATACCCTCCCCCTGATGGCTTACATTCTTGAGCTATTTTACAATGATTAATTGGGAAAACTATGTAACATTTTGCATATGTGCAAGGATATCTGTAGGAAAAAAAAATCCTACACACAAAATTTGGGGGCCTTTTTTTTCCTTTGTGGATCTTTTTTTTAATTTGAGTTACAGTCAGTTTACAATGTTGTATCAATTTCTGGTGTGCAGCACAACCCTTCGGTCATACATGAACACACACACATTCATTCTCAGATTCTTCTTCACCATGAGCTACTACAAGATCTTGTATATATTTCCCTGTGCTCTACAGTATAAACTTGTTTATCTATTCTATATATACCTGTCAGTATCTACAGATCTCGAACTCCCAGTCTGTCCCTTCCCACCCCTTCATGGATTTTCAAATAACTATTTTATTAAAGGCTCTAACCTGTATTGTTTTCCAGTTCATGACTTTCACTAGATTCAAACATCAGAAACTCTCTCCCCAGTTCCAAAATGTCACATAACAAACATTAGCTGAACACCTCCAACAAAGACAGCTCTGTGCAAGGAACTGTGAAAATAGATTAAAAAAAAAACCTTTAAATCTTTTATGTTGTATGAGTAACATTTCCTTCTTTCAGACTGTTTCATACCAACATGTTAACGACTAACTCTAAGACAGGCCAAGTCACTGCCAGGAGACATGAAAACAAAAGCTCTCTCAGTAGGCATTACGTTTCATCGGCTGAGAGGATGGAAGCTAAAATTAAAATCGTGCTCGTCTTCCAGAAACACTTAACAATGGGTAGTTTCTGCAGAGCATGTCACACACAACCCCAGCCATGAGCCCCCAGAGTGTCGGGTACAAGTGGCTCCTGGGGTGTCGGTGGGGGTTGCTGTACCTGCGTGAATAAGCCATCGGCGGACCATGTTCGTGAGAAGATACATAAAATGCCTTACCTTAAGCAGTCGCTCAGCAGATATTAACTTGATGTTTTTATCAGCCCGTTGATATTACTGATATGATTTTAAAAAAAGCTGTGTGAAGGATTATCACGCCTTTAAGTGGCTTTTTTAGTACAAAATGGTAAACAGGAGATGCTCCCATAATTATTAAGTGAGCGAGCAGGTACTCATCCCAGTGTGAGGGCTTTAACACTTCGGCACCCGTGTGGGGAGACGTCCACGTTCCACTGTCTTAGCTGCGGGTGGGCTCACTCGGCAGTCCTTTCCATCACCCACTACACTGAGTTATTCCCGTTCCTGTCTCTGATCCTCGCCGAGGCTATTCTAGAAGACTCCTGGTTGTGAAATAAAAAGGTCAGAATGTCACCCACGACAGTGTTTACGCTGCCACGTTCATTCGGGGCACCAGGAGTGCAGTCTGCCTTTCAGACCGTATCATCTCTCTTGTTTTCTCACATCTGAGATGCCCTGGCTGCAGTCTACCTGCTCAGCCTCTCCCAGGAGCCGGCTCTCTGCTGGCTCGCTCACCCGGTCAGGCAGTATAAACGGAGCTCCTGCCCTGCGCCACATACGGCCCCACTCTGCAACCCATGCAGATTTCTCATCAAAAAGCAAACGACACCGTACATGTGTTTCAGCTTATGGAATGTTGTTTAATTCCACCGATTAGGTGTCTATTGAGTGCCTGCTCTGAACCCAGCACTTACTGTGTGCTCAGTAGAGCGACAGAAAGGAAACTACCGCTCCGAAATAAGGAGCTGACGCCCTGACTTCAGCTGTCTTCAGCGGATGCCGGCACAGGCACGTCACAGCCATGGCTCCCTGACTGACCCAGCTGGCAGGTACCGCTGAGGAGAGACGGTCCCCTGTAACGTCACCAAGTACAGCTGATTTACAATATGGTGTTAGCTTCAGGTGCACAGCACAGTGATTCAGTACTCTTGCAGATTTCACCCCATTACACATTATTACAAAATAGTGGTTATAATTCCCTGGGCTATACAGGATATCCCTGGGGCTTCTCTATTTTATGTATAGTCGTTTCTATCTGTCAATCCCATACTCTTAATTTGTCCTCCCCCTTTCCCTCTCTCCTTTGGTAACCACAAAGTTCTTTTCTGGATCTGTTTTTCATGTACATTCACTTGTATTATTTTTTAGATTCCTCATATAAGTTACATCATACAGTGTCTTTTTCTGTCTGATTTGCTTTGCTAAATGTAATATTCTCTAGGTCCATCCATGTTGCTACAAGTGCTTATTTATTCTTTTTAATGGCTGAGTAATATTCCATTGTGTGTATACAGGTACATATACCACACCTTCTTTATCCAGTCATCTGTCCCTGGACACTTAGGTTGCTTCCATGTCATGGCTACTGTAAATAATACTGCTGTGAACATCGGGGTCCATGTATCTTTTCAAATTAGTATTTTCATCTTTTCCGGATATATGCCCAGGAATGGAATTGCTGGATCCCATGGTAGTTCCATTTTTTGTGTTTTGAGGAACTGCCATGCTGTTTTCCATGGTAGCCACACCAATCTACATTCCCACCAACAGCATAGGAAGGTTCCCTTTTCTCCCCACGCTTTCCAGCTTTTGTTATTTGTAGACTTTCTGATGATGGCCATTCTGACCAGTGTGAGGTGATATTTCACTGTTACAGAGGGCCCTCGCATCACCCACGTTGAACAGTGGCCACTGGCTGTCTCTGCCACCTTCTCCGTAGTAGACCCTGCATCACTGTAGGTGGAAATCAAGGCGGGAGGGAGCTCCTGGCCTTTCTGGCTTTGTGTTCAATAACCCACCTCTTCTCCTCCCTCTCCCAGAGGCTGATTCTCCTCCCTCCTTCCTCCGGTCTCACCATATCCTCTCTTTTCCTTTTTCTTCAATCCATGCACCCCCTGGAAAGCACAAAAGGGTGGAGAACTTGGCAGCTGATATATGAATCCATTGTTTTGGTGATTCTGGTTTCAGTTTCTTTACTGAATTAGCCTGGACATGACTGAGGAAGAGGCCAGCGGTCTGAGTTCAAGTGGCTGAATTCAAATCGCTTTGCTGGACCACGGGCTCAGGAGCCCTCCTGCTTGAGTTTATTCTAAGGACAAACGGGAAGCAGCCTTGTGAAAGTGGAACTACATCAGCTTGCCTCTTCCAGTAAATCCCCACGTGGACAGTAAATGCACGCCACGCCGCTTAGTCACTGTGAAGAGACAGGTCACCACAGGGTGCAACATCTCTGCCTTAAAATGTGGCTTTTGGTCATAATAATGATTAATGTTAAGTCTTAAAACTCAAAACCTCTTTCACTGATTTCTCATGTTTTCTGTTACTTTTGGGGGGGGGTGGTACTTAGGTTTGTTTGTTTGTTCTTAATGGAGGTACAGGGGATTGAACCCAGGACCTCATGCGTGCTGAACACGCGCTCCACCACTGAGCTACACCCTCCCCCGCCCCCATTACTTATTTCGGAATGACTTTTCTGTGCTCATTTTTATTTACTTAGGTGCAGATGGTTTTGTTTTTGTAACTTTAGTGTCTCTTCTGATTACAAGATCATCGCAAAAATACCAGGCGGGGGGAACCACACTTTTTAAAAAAGAAAGTGAGTTTATCTCCAGTACCAAATGATTCCTTAATACTTTGGTACATATTTGTCACTTTTCTGTGCCTAGGGACACACACACGGCTCACTGGAAATTATTTTTGATTTGTGTTTCTCAGCCAGCTTTTTTCACTTAAGCTACTGTAAACATCTTTGCATATTAACAAACATAGATTCACTTCATAGTTTTAGAAGCTGAATATGCCATTGTATGGGCATGCCACACTTTATTTAACTAAGTTTCTATGGATAAGAGACTTAGATTAACATTTTAAAAATTATTTTAAGTAATACTTCAGTGAATACTCTGGTGTGTATGTTTTCCCATTTCCTTAGGACGAATTCCTAAGGTGGAACTAGACTCAGAGGCAGTGGTCTTCCCTGATGCTTTTGTAACACGCTGCCAATTGCGCTTGAGAAAAACTATACCCATTTCCCCTCTTCCCCTGCAGAGAACCCGGGGGCTTCCCCTCATCCTTACATTTAGCTGTTCTGCAGTGGAGCTGTGTTTGAAGGCCAAGCCGTGGGAGATGCATCCTTGTGCACAGGGTGATGTGCTGGCTGTCCAGGTCCGGGAGACGAATGCACCTCCTGGTCCGCAATGAGACTCCCGGGTCCCCGGATGTTCAGGGCTGTCACCTGGCCCGTGGAGCGTGTAGGTGATTTTTGCAGGAGGACTTCACAATATTAAGGCAAACTGGCCAAATCTGCTTGGAGCTTATGATTGATGCAAGTGTTTTAAAAATCGTTATGGTCTTTGGAGTTAACAGATACACATTACTATATATAAAATAAATAAACAAAGACCTCACATGTAGCACAGGGAACTGTATTCAATTTCTTATAATAACCTGTAATGGGAAAGAATCTGAAAAAAAAATATATGTATGTATGTATATGTATAACGGAATAGGTTTGCTATACACCTGACAATAACATTGAGAGCATGTGGAGAAAAGGGAACCCTCCTACAGAATGCAGTTTGGTGCAGCCATTGTGGAAAACAGTATGGAGATTCCTCAAAAGACTAAACATAGACTCACCATATGATCCAGCCATCCCACTCCTGGGCATGTATCCAGAGGGAACTCTAATTCGAAAAGACACATGCACCCCAGTGTTCACAGCAGCACCATATACAATAGCTAAGACACGGCACAGTAAACAATCTTATGGTTACTGGGAAAAGGGATAAATCTGGGACTCTGAGATTTGCAAACGTTAGCCACTACACCTAAAAATAAATTTAAAAAACAGGTTTCTTCTGTATAACACAGGGAACTATACTCAATATCTTATAATAACCTTTAATGGAGAATACAAAAATGAATGTCTGTATATGCATGACTGGACACTGTGCTTGTACACCAGAAACTGCCACATTGTAACTGATTGTACTTCAATTTAAAAAAAAACTAAAAATTAAGAAAAAAAGTAAACTAACACTGTAAACCAACTGCATGACAATAAAAGATAAAAAGAATCTAAAAAATAAATAAAATAGGGATGCTCTCCCTGCCCTGGGGCTCCGCCCTCTCGCTCCCACCTGGAGACCCCTCCCTGCCTAACAATCTCAAAGGCCTGGTGGCTGGGGCCCGCCCCCTCAAGCCCCTCCCTCTCACCACCCCTGCAGGTCCTTTCAACTCAGTCAAAACATGTGCTTTCCCTTCTAAGCTCCCTTTCTTATAATACGTCCTCTCCTCATCACTCTTCCTCCACCATGGTAAGTTGCAAATAAAAAAATAGTAAAGATGACATGGGAAGGAAAACAGCACTGCCCACTGTTTCTAAATCAGGATTCTGTGAAGGGGGAGAAAAGGGGGACCGGTGAGGAGGACCCCTGCCCTGTCCCCTGACTTTGGACTTAGACGCAGGTGCTCCTCCAGCTGTGGTGCAGGCCTCCGCCCCATCGCGCCCACCCCCAGCTTCTGATCCCTGAGGCCCTTACTCTCCCCTTCTCCCCTCCAGACTCACCCCTGTCCCTGCCCCGTCACCCGGTCGCTCCACTGGGGAAGACAAGGACGGGGATGACGTGAATGGGGACCGTTTGAGGGGGTGGCCTTGGCAGGAGAGGAATGTCCTTTCTGCCTAAATGCAGACGGGACCGAGCCATCAATCTGGGGCACCACTAGTACCGGTGCGGGCTGAAGGGCGTGCGGATCTCTGGGCAGGAGGGTCAACCGTGCAGCACCCTGAGTCTCAGAAGTGAACCCACGGCCAGGACTCTGAGTGACGCCAGCTCCGTTCTGCTCTTTTCACAGCGGCCGTCTCCGTACTCGTGGCCGTGCTGGGCGCCGTGTGTGTGGGGTTGCTCCTGGTGTGTTACAGAAGGTCCAGGTAAGTGGCACAGAGTCGCCCTGGACAAGATGCCTCCTCTCCTCCCCTCCCCTCCAGGAGAACAGGGCTGCATCCTAATGACCCGAGCTGCCCTCTCGAAGGAAGATCATATTCTCTCAACATAAAGATTATCTGATCCTTCGAGCTTAATGCGACAAGATGAACATCCCGTGAAATGCTACTGTAAAGCCAAAATGACAGTCATCGAAAAACTCACACAAATCTTCAAAAAGCTGTTCGTGCCATCCCAACCAGGAAGAAACGCCAAAAACCTCACAGTTCAGAAATCAACAAAATAAGGTTGATAGTTTACTACTCAAAATTGTGTCAAAACAATCCCCCTCAAAATGCTAAAATGCTGGCAAATAGAACAGAACTTTTAAAAGGATTTTCAGAATACCATTATAAGTAATTTCCACATAAAACGTTGTATTTGGAGGTACAGTCTTAATGCATACAGTCGTTATAGTTTCTTGAGTATACTAAAAAAAAGCACACACCATCTTTTAGGAGTAATACATCGAAAATGTATTCTTAAAAAGAATTTGTAAATTTGATACACATGGCCAATAAATATGCTCATAAGAGGAAACAATATTCACTGACTATATTATGGAAATATTCATAAATATATCTTTAGTAAGAACTGATGTAAATCAATTACACGTCAAAAAAAGATTTTTTTAATCAATTTTTCCAGCAGTGGCTGGAAAGGAATTGTCAACTCCTAAAAAAAAATTGGTAAACCTGGTAAGTGTGACTACCTGACCATTTGGTGAGTTGATTCTTGCCGTAAACTGGTAATTTGCGAATAGGTTATTAGCTGAATGTGTCATTCAACAAACTGGCTTTTAGAAAAGTGTTTCTGGTGAACAATCAGGCCTGGCTTAGCCGGGTTCCTGGTGCCTCTTGCCATCTGAACCAGTTCTTTACAGAGGACTGGCAAGTTGCTCCACCAGCATCAGTAAATCCTGGGGACCGAGGGGGTTAAAATGCCAAAATAAGATTTAAATACTGCCTGTGAGGGAGGCCATCTTAACGTTCTCCACCTGAGTGTCCAAAAGGAACCGTCTTCGGACACAGTCTCTCCTCTTTTCAAATCCTGTGAATTATTTGTTTTGCAGGCAAATTAACCAGATACCGGGTGTTGAAATGGAAAGCACAGAGGTCGTGCCAATGGCCGGGGGAACCGACACGAGAGGGGAGGGCACAGAACACTGACCACACAGCCGAGGAGGTTCCAGGGGACACCGAGGCCAGCAGAGGCCACAGTGAAGGCCTGGTTCTGCTCCAGCCAAAGAGGACCGAGAGCAGACTCGGGGAGCTGGCCCCGGAGAAGAGCCTGCCAGGGTGTCCTGGCATCACTTAGCGACAGCCCAGCCCAGGCACCACCCTCACAACTACGTCTCCGGGCTTAGGAATGACGTCTGTCCTGCCCGGTCCTGTCCAGCCCCGGGCGTGGGGCTCGGTTCCCCAGGTCCCAGCGGTCGGCGTTCTCCCGGGAGAGAGTGAAGAAGGCCTCAGGGCTTCCATCAGGGCTTCTATGCATTAAGACATTTACTCAGGACGGATTATCTGCTGGACTCTCCCTCCCTCCCCTCATCCTGACCTGCAGTTCACAAAGAAAAGAAACAGACCTGAGGCTCTAAGTGAATTATGACACTCCTCCTGGCTTTGAGATGTTTACAAGGATGACACCAGCATTTCAGCTCCTAAAAACTCTCTCTCCAGCTGGGTGCTCCACACGCACTGAAGGGAGCAGACAGGTTCTGTGCCCAAGTGAATCCTCCTGACTGAAGGATGTAGGAAGAAGAAACCTGAACTTGGTGACACTTTCTGTGTCTATGCATTTATATTTATATCCTTGGCTTTTATATCTACATATGATAGGATTTGTGTTTTGAAATTGTGCCTTGTATAAACAAAACAAAATGTCTATTTTCAATACAAAAAAATGCACAGAAAGCATCACTGAGGGGAAATGTACCACCAAGAAATAAGCTGGGTAAATTAGTCCACAAAAATGAGATCCAGACATGAAGTCAAGTAGGGTGGGGTGGAGTTCAGGTCCAAAAGGACCAAGAGAAGTACGGTAGGGGTGGATAAATCAATCAATAGGATTTCTTTTTTTTAAAAGACTAAAGGAGTAATGTGAATTCTCTTACCAGGCGGTGTAGTACTTCTAGGGCAATGCTTTGTTTTGTTTTGTTCTGTTTTGTTTTAAATGGAGGTCCTGGGGGCTGAACCCAGGACCTCGTGCGGGCTAAGCATGCACTCTACCACTTGAGCTACACCCTCCTGCTAGGGAAATGTTTAAGTAGCCCCTACGATGCCAAAACATACCATGGCCCCAGAATTCATCCATCAGGTAGTGATGGATGTCTTGGAAGTAAGTACTGTGTTTCTACGTGAATGAGCTCATTGGATTTCACTGACTTCTCAGAGCCTGACGCAGTGCCCTGAAGGTGACTGGCAGGTGCTAGGTCGATCAGTACACTAAAATATTCCCGAGCAGAGGACAGCAGCATTTCCTGAGACAGGTTCCCCAGCAAAGTTACAGAGGAGGGGGTGTCTGGGGGCCCTCGGCCGCTTCTCTCTGCATGCATCTCCCCATCCTTCTTCGACAGTTCCAAGCGCTGCCTCAAGTCCCACATCTGCCCCCATTTTTACAGAGTGACTGATGTCCAGAAGGTCTGGCTCGGGAGGACACAGTGGGGCCAAGAGGTGGGGGGGAGGGCACGGGCAGCTGCAACAAACTAGGCTGGCAGGGCAGACTGACCATGCGCGGGGGTCTCAGGACCCCCCTCCTCACCCCTCCCCGCCTGCCCTACCCCATCACAGGCTGCCTGCTAGAGTTCTGCAAAACCACCACTCTCCTCTATCCTGCCCGCAAGCCTCGACCCAGCGGCCTGGGAAGGGCCCTGCAGGCTGGCCTGGTAGGACGCTGCTTCCTCTGGTTACCTGCTGCTGCCTAACAGACCACCTCCCACTGCAGCTCCAGACCTCACTGGTTCCCGTCTCCAGGGGCGGTGGGCTTAGCCAGGCGGTCCTGCTCTATGTGTGACCAGCTGGGACCACTCACTCGGCTGCACTCAGCCAGGGGCTGGGCTGGGCTGGGCTGGGCTGGGCTGGGCTCAGCGGCCTAAGGCGGAGTCGCTCAGCGCCTGGGGCCCCAGTGCTCCTCTGCGGAAACTGTCCACGTGGCTAGCCTGAGCTTCCTCATAGCATGGCAGCCAGACCACTTATAAGTGACCGAAAGAAGAGACCACCAGGCCAGGAACTGGCACATTTTATGGGCACATCTGTTGCACTGTATTGGTCAAAGCAAGCCACCAGGCCACCCAGCCTCAAGGGGAGGGAGGAATGACAAAAAAGGAGGCAAGGAACCAAGGGAAACCATCTTTGGAGACTGTCCACCACAGTCCTTCTCAAGGCCACCAGGGGAGTGGCATTCATCTTTCAATCTCGGCACTCCGTAAATGCCAAGGAATGCTGGATGAATGAGTGCAGAGAAGGACCGGGGTCTGCATCTGCCAGGTGCTGAGAAGGGTCCGTCTTTGTATTTCTGTTTCTCAGCAGGAAAGTACACAGCACTCAGCAGGATTTGCGAGTTCCCCAGCTGTGAAGTCCCTGGCCCGGATGACACCGTCAGCTGGCTACAGAGCGGCATAATTCACATTTCTCCCTCCTCTCATTTCCTGTCTTCCACATTCGTCACGAGGAACGCTAAGTGGCCTTCATCTTTTTTATCTTCACTTGATTTTCCTTGACCAATAAGTAAGACTTGTTCTCTCCTCTTCTGAAGCCCTCCTCTAGCCATTAGGAAGTTAAGAGACCAGGGACCAAAAAGGCACACTGAAGGGTTTCTAATTGCTCACTCTGCTTTCTTCCATTCTGGCCTCAGGACTTAAAGAATGCAGCTGAGAATTCTGAGTTTACTTGCTTGTTTCCCCATCAGCCTGTGTCCTTGAAGGCAAGACCAGCCAGATTCAAACCACAGCATCCCCACCACCTTGCACGGCCGGGGACATATCAGGACTTCAATGTGTGACTGTTTGCCCAGAATTTCTAAATATACGGCGCTACATTTATGCAGGAATTCTGGTTCACACTTTTCTCCCGTCCACCCATTCTACTTTTGCTGTTTTCAGGTATCCAGGATGTAACACTCCCTCTTCTCCAGTTTTGGGGACCCGCCATTGTGTTGGAGAGCCTCACCACCCACCAACGCAGAGGCTGATATCCCCTCTCCCCACCCCCCCAGGGTAGGGGTGACCCCTGACCCCTGACCCCAGCGAGACCCATTGGACGCACTGAGTAGGGACTGGATAAACACGACGGGACCACAGAGCCCACACTGGCAAGGATTCCGGCATCGCACGGCTGTCAAGCTGCCTGTTTCTGAGTTCTCCACACTGCTTTGGTTCCTACCCCGTTTCCAGACCTAAACCTCCATCTTCCTGTGATTCTCTGAGCCCCCCCACATTTCTCCAGCAAATTTTCTTTTTCCTTATTACAAATTCCATTTTCATTACTTGTTATTCAAAGGTCCCAACCAATAATTTGGTACTAGGAGTGGGTACTGCCAATTACAGAGAAGTAGGGAAATAAAGTACAGCTTCGGCTGGTTCTCTGCCTCGGACACGGCAGCAAACAGCGCTAGGTTCTGCTCACCGTCTGAGGTGGGACTCTAGTGGCAGGGAATTCGCTCCTCAGAGGTGGCCTGAACGGCTGCCCGCCGTAGGCCCGGCCCCGGGAGACAGCACCTCTGCCTGCCTCAAATACTACGGGGAGAGACACCCAAGGCCGCAGATGGGCGGCTACCACTAATGGCCCTGAACAATTCAGGCAGAGAACAACGAGCCCAAATCCCTGAAGTCTCAACTTGAGCCACCGGAGACTGGAACCGAGAGACTTCATAGCCACGCTGAGTTGCATCCCTTAGAGACGCAAGGCCAGAGAGCCGGAAACCCCACTTACGAGTCTGAGTCTTCAATGTGTTGAGTCACATTAGCTGGATTTAACAGCAGCACCAGGTTTAGGAAATCTGAAAGCTGGAAGGTAAAGCACTGACTGGATACGGATGAGGCCCCAGTACTGGGATGAAGATACAGGGGAAAGCTGGAGGCTCAGTCTCCCAGCGGCCCAGAAGACCACCCCCACGGACCCTCCCCTGCCCTCAGCAGCAGACCTCATTGAAGGGCACCCTCACCTACCCTGCAAACGAGCCAGGAAACGGAGGTGCCGCTGGGATTCCTACCACTGACTCACTGTGCCCATCGAAGCACTCCCCGCATCCTGTTGACTCTACCTCTTGATCCCGAGGGCACTTTCCCCAGACTTAGTGTGCATCAGAACCTCTCACAGGGCGTGTCCAACACCAACTGCCAGGCCTCAACCTCATGGCTTCTGGTCCAGCAGATGTGGGGCGAGGGCCGAGAATGTGCATGTGCATCAAGTTCCCGGGCGAGGCTCACGCCGCTCCCCTGGGGGCCGCACTGTAAGCCCCACCCCTCCAGCACCCACCCCCTCCTCACCAGACCCACTCCAGCTGTCCTGGTCCAGCCCATCAGCTGTCATTTCTTGCTGCAACGACGACTCTGGGCCTTTTAATTTATCTGACCTTCTTAAAACACCCTCCCACCTACAACTGGAATGTTCTTCCTGAATAGAAAATCTGATGTCTTAAAATTTTTCACTCATTCCTCGTAGTTTTTCAGGCAACCACTCAAACTCCCGCATGTCCAGGGCCCTTTACTGCCTGGCCCCTCACTCGCCTGCTCCTACTGTATACACCCTCCAGCCACACACATTTCTCATCTCCTCAGGTATTTCCTGCAGTGTCAGACCTTTAGTGATGGCAATTTCAGCTGCTGAGATTCTGTGATATTTTAAAACATCTCTAGATCAGTATTTTAGGTTGGTCTAATGCTATCACCTTTTTTTTTAATCTAAAGTCTGAAATATGTCTTCAGAATAATTATGTGGAAGGACAAACTAATGCATAGTCCACAATGCACTATGGTATCTGAATGCTTCTATTCCAAGAATAGTTTTTATTGTATTTCAAATATCGTCTAGACGAATGGAACATGACATAACAGAATTTGTTTTTATATGGGTAACTGCATCAAAATCCCTATATACAAGAAAAAATCAAAGAAGATGGAGACAAATCAGAAATCCTTTCTTTGAAACAAAAAACTAGAACTTGCTATCAGTGGTCTTCGAATTCTTAGAAAAACAAAAAAAGACCTCCAAGTTACCAAATAAAAGGATTATTAAAAAACTAGTGAACCAAAGAAAAATATCAGGAACTAGCTTATAATTATTTCCCTTATTTTTCTCCCAATTTATGTGATATAAAATCAAAACCAACCAAAAAAACCAAACTTCTACAGAAAGTCTTACACAAAAATATGTTCACAACTCAATGAAACCATGGAAGCCTTATGTCTTAAAGACTATACTTTTAAAAAGAGCTAAAAGATTTTCATTTTCATCTAGTATTTAGTTTATATTTTTCAATAATGCTTTTATTTTTTCCATCTAATTACTTATATTAAATCATAATAGATACTTAACTTCATACATATGGACATGAGATTAAGAGATGTGAACTACTACATATAAAACAAACAAGAATATATCAGCCAGCACAGGGAAATTATAGCCACTAGTTTGTAATAATTTCAAATGGAGTACCATCTATAAAAATGTTAAATCATTATCTTGTACGCCTGAAACTAGCATTGTAAAACAACTATATTTCAATTAAGAAAAATTTAATAAAAATACATAAATAAAATACAATTAACTTTGTAAGTATATTTAACAAAACTAAATTTTATATAGGAATTTCTATCTTCATAAACTACTGAGTTCCTTAAGAGACTTAAATAAATAAATATAATTTCTATTTTTACTGTGTATTTAAAAATTATTTTTCTATTTGAAACAACCATTTGGTTTTAATAATTTTTTAAGAAATTCTTAACACTTAAAAATTAAATACCACTGTCAACTCCTAGATTCTGTTTTTTTTTTAAATAAGTACCAAAATACCAGCGCTGACGTTTGCTCTGACAGTACTGTTACCACACACACTTTTTTCCCTTCATGTTCCCCTTTCTTCCAGGAACCTACTTTCCCTCATTCCTTCCTGAAGAGCCAGCTAATCACCGCCCTGTTACTAAGCTCAGCCCCAGCCCCACCTGCTCTGGCAGGACACCCCTCCCGCCCCAGGTGCGCTGCGGGCCCCTCTCTGCGATCACACTGCTCACCGCCACCTCCGTGAGCCAGGACCACTTCCCATTCCAGACGCCCACTCCCAGGGCCTCTGCCCCACAGCAGGTGCTCCGTGAAGGCCCAGTGAGCCGTGATGCCTCCGGTAAATAAGCTGCCTCCTCTCTGGTTGGTAAAACGAGGTTTCCAGTAAATGCTTCCATAAACCAACATCCCCACCCCCTATCGCCACTCATCCCCCAAACCCCTCTTTCCAACGACCCTGGACACTGTGCCGGGTCCACATCCACATCATTTCCCTTCACTCGCTGTTTTGTTCAGTTATCCAAAAGCACCAAGTAAGGAAGGCCAGGCGTGCTGGTGGAGTGGATGCCCCAGCCCGTCCCTTTCCGGCAACGCGTTCACCTCTGTCCTCCGCCAGCTGCAGCCGTTAACTCGGCGCTCCCCGCCCCAGCACCTCGCTTTACTCACCGGCCGCCCGCTACGTCCACTAGAGGCCTGACGGAGGAGGGGTTAGGGGAGGCTGCAGCGGCTCAAGCCACGAGGTCTGCTCTCCACTCCGCGGGCCGGGCGCGAACTAGATGCGGCGAGCTCTGGGCACGGCCAGGCCAGCTCCCCCACCTGCCATCTGCATCCCTGAAGCGCTGCACGGCAGAAACGTAAAAATACCAGCTCCTTGTACGTCGACGCGACCTGAGTGTTTCCACTGGTTTCTATAAGAATAGCTTTATTACAACGTCCACCGGCACCCCCGGCATGACCCAGGTACCACCCTCCTTTCTCCACGGACCCCCCCCCCCTCAGTACGTCCGATCTTCAGTTCCACCTGTGGGGACACGGAAGTCTGGCCAGTAGTGTCCCTGGGTACTTGGCTTTTTATGTTTTATGTGGCCTCCCTGTTTAGCCTGTGAACCCCGTGATGACCGAGGCACACACTGTGTCGTATACACGTGCGACTCCCCGCGGCACGGAAACGCCCATCTGCTGCGTCAGTCATCACGTCACCCTGGACGTTAGGCCTCACACTCTGCCTTGGTGCGTCACTGCACGGTCACAGAGCTGGTGCAAAGAGGCGCGGGGAGGAGGAGAAAGCTGGGGGAGGTTTGGGAACAGCAGGGCTGAAGGCAGGGGCCGTCACACCGTGGTCTGCCAGGGCTAATATGCCTGTTTAATCGAAAGCTCGTAATAAAAGTTTAAATACATAAAATTTTTTTTATATCAAAAGAATATCCCCGGGTCCCCAGCCTGCTGCGCGGAGGAGGGCAGCGGGGCCTGGCTACCTACAGGGGCGGAGAAACCGCAAGGTCCAACTCTGGTGGGCTTCGTCGTCCTCAGAAAACGCTCCGCGAGTGAGTCCGGGGTCGGGGCAGGGAGGCCCCGATGCGCCGTCTGCGGGGCAGGAGCCCGCCCGGCCCCGGCCCGAGGAGCGCTCCTCCCTGACGTCAGAACACGAGGAAAAGCAGGGCTTCGTGCCGCGGCAGCACAACGTCCTCCACGGTGCGGTCCATGGCGCGCACCTGCTCCGGGGAGGCGGTCAGGAAGGCCAGCGGCCCGATGCGCTGCTCCGCGCACGAGTGGCAGAGGTACCCGCCCTTGTTCTCCTTCCTGTTGCTCTGCAGGGGGAGGACGAGAGAATGGGGAGGCGGACGTTGGATGGAGGACAAGTGTTCACCACCAAGTAGCGTGACCCAACCGCCGTCAGCACCGCAGAGGGGCCGCGCGTCTGGACCCCAATGCTTTAGACCAGGGTAGACAGGCGAGGTTACCCCACCCCCAGCACCGTCACACCTTGGGCCCTGCTCTGTATATGCCCTAGAGCAGATCTTGAATTTATCAGAGCAAGGGATGAAGAGCTGAGAAAACCTGAACCTGGCCCCCGGGTCCGGGTGTCTGCACAACCCGACCTCCCGGCTGCTTCCTGCGCCCTGACTCCATCCGGTCCCGCCGACACCAGGCCTGCCTCCTCCGCACAAAGCCCTAACGAGGCTGGTCCGATCCCCTCTACCTCCCGCCCCCACAGCCCCCCCGCGCAGTGAGACAAGACTGCACCGAACACCGCGGCACGCAAGGCTGCGGCCGCGCCCACGTACGTAGGTGATGGGGAGCTTCCGCATGGTGAGCACGGTGTCCACTGGGATGGCGTTGCTGCACTGCCCCACGCAGCAGCGAACCACGCCCGTCTTTAACACGTTACTCGTCAGCTCCACTTGCAAGAAGTACTCCTGAGGGAAAGAGTAAGAGAATGAGCGCAAAGCCTCGGCCGCATTCTTCCCAGAAACTCCGGCAGCTCGGGGGGCTTTCAGACGCCGCCCGAGTCCCAGAACAGACGGCTGCGTCTGCCCTGTGTCTCCACCTCGTCCCTGCCTGTAACACTGCCTCAGTTCAGCCGGCTTCCTGCTGAAACGGCTAGTTTAAAAAACAAAAGTTGAGGGCCGGGGGAGGGATACATTAGGAGTTTGGGATTAAGAGATCCTGTACATGAAACAGATAAACAACAGGGACCTACTGTAGAGCACAGGGAACTATATTCAATGTCTTATAACAACATACAATGGAAAAGAATCTGAAAATACATATATATATACACATATATATGTTTGTATATGTATAATGGAATTGCTTTGCTGCACACCTGAAACTAACACTGTAAATCAACTACATATCAATAAAAAATAAAAATGAAAAACAAAAATTAAATTAAAAATTAAATAATGGCTTAATGGACAAACACATGGAACTACTGGCTATAACGGTATTTCAGGACAATTTCTGGACTTGACCTTAGGCTGGCCTGTCCCTGCATCACTAAGAGTGATCTGTCTATGCTCCTTACAGCCCAGACGAGCTTACCAAGCCTGCCCATGTCCACCCTGCCCGTTTCCATCTTCCCAAGCCCACGGCTCTACGACGGGCAGACACCCAGCCTCTCTAAGCCTCAGCCTCTTCACCTGTGAAACGCACAGAACACGGCACCTGCTTCCTCCTGGGGCTGTGAGCCTGATGTCCGGCACTACATGTGACGTGCTCAGAGCCTGGCACACAGTGGGTGCCCCAGTCACACACCAGTCACCTCCCAGGCTGGAAATGCCACAAGAGGAGGGACCAGGGTCCAGTCTGCTGCTGCCCCACAGGAGATCACCAAGGTTCTGGCATACCAGCAAGACCGCAAATATTTGCTGACCCAAAACCAGGATTTCATGTTTTCTGGATTACAATTGGCTGTTTATCCAATTTTTGCAAAATCTGTGTCCAGGATTCTGATTTATTTGGTTTTCTCGCTTTCAGGATGTGCCTACCCACTACAGGAAAGAACAGAAAATATGCACTCACGTTCCCACCAACACGTACTGACAACTAACTGTGGGAAACCCTTTCTAAAATGGAATTACAGATTTCCACGGAGTCCAGTTCATTCTAAAATGGATTCACGGTTCGTATGTTCCCAAGAACACAAGGAGGCATCTTACCAGTAATTATCTACGTCTGTGCTACACAGTCGCTTTGCTTCTCACCTAGTTCACCTCTTTAGTGCTGCACAGGATTCAGCCATCTCTCTTCACCACTTCCTTTGTGTGCAGGCTCACGCTGTTTCCAAATTACTTCCAACAACGCAGCAGTGAATATCCTTGCGCATTATTTCCCCTCAACACGCGCACGGATTCCCCCAGGGCTTTCTAACTTTCCTGACCATGATCCGTGCCCAGAAACCCATTCAGCATTACCGTTCTACACACACACACACGAATGTGTTAAGACGCTGAAATCAGTCTCACAGAAGTTTCTAACCTCACATCCGGTGTACTCTTGAATTCTTCAGATTTTATTACACTTCACTTTTCTTTTAAATGCTTATCATAATCTACTAACTAGGTTCCTAAATCATTCATGAACTGCAACCTACAGTTGGAAAAGCACCACCCCAAAGCACAATTCTCAAACATTTGGTCTCGGGACCCTTTACACTGAGAGCTGCACATTAAGGGCTCCCAGGAAGTTTTGCTTACGTGAGTTATAGCCACTAATGTTTGCCGGATTAGAAATTTAAACCAGGAAAGTTTGTAAGCGTATTAATCCATTTAAAACATAATAATAAACTTTTCACATTAACCTGTATATTTTTATGAAAAATAAGTATATTTTTAAAAGACCTTTAACGAGAAGACTAACAATGTGTTACACTTTTGTAAATCTCATTCACGTCCAGCTTAATTAACAAAAGACACCTGGGCTCTCGTTTCTGCTTTGGGGTTCAGTCTGTGGTGGTACCGCATCATGTGGCCTCTGGAGAACGCCGCCGCACAGCTGGGAGAGCGCTGCAGGAAAGGGGCACGTGACCACCCAGTATCACGAGGCATGTGTTGTGTAGAACACGTTCTGGAAAGGTTCCTGGGAGGGGTCCCTGCTCACACTTTGAGAACTGGTACCCACTGAGCGAGGAATCCAGAGCGGCAGGTGTGTGTCTTCCCACCGGCTCCCCGCCGGCCTTGCGGTCCCTGAATGGGGCAGACGTCTTCATTCTCGCCCATCTGGTCATTTCAGTTTGCACCTCCCTGACCACCAAGGAAGTTGCATATCTCTTCTTCCCCCTAACAGGTTCCCTGGCCACTGGGGTTTCCTGTGCTGTGAACTCCTTGTTTAGAACCTTTGCCCAGGTGCCTACCAGGCCGTCTGTTTCTTAGGAAAGTGCAGTTGGAGATTTGCTCTGCTCGCTGCCAGGCCTTGGGGCAGCACCCACACACCGTTGGCATCTGTGAGCGCGTGCGGGACGGACAGGAGAGTCACCCCCTGCGCTCTGCGGCGGGTCTTCCGGCAGCTGGCACAGGGCACTGTCTCCAGCCCCAAGTCCCTGCTGGCAGATCTGAGGCTGCCTCCTGTCTTCCCTCCAAGACTGGGAATTCTGTGAGATCAAGGACCACGAGGCTTGCTGTTCCCTGTGCCTCCCGGCACTAACTACGGTGCTTGGTACGTAACAGAGGTTCTGTAAGTCTAACTAATTATCAAGCCAATGAACAGGTAAATCAGCTAATCAAGCCGCCTCCACCCTCTAGTGACAACCTGGGTATCCAACAGGTTGGCAGGTACGCAGACCAGTAACTGGGAGGAGACACCATCCCCGAGGAACTGCGCATGGTCTGACTTCCAGTCGTGTAAAGTGCCGGCAGAGGGACCAACGCCAGCTGCTGCAAATCCTGTCCCACGGAGAAAAGCACAAACCAATCCCCAAAGCTTCACCAGAACCCCTGGCCTTCAGGAATCTAAAGACACGTGATGTCGCCATCCAACCCCTCCCCTGAAATGCCAGGCTGTTCCGTTTTTAGAGGCATCAGGTCCTGCCCAGCAGTCAGGTCCTCTTCTTTGGAGCACTGTACACATAACCCTCACCGGACACACGACACTGTCACCGACCCACTGCACAAAGGCACGGGAGCTGAGCACTCAGGTCACCTACACAAACGACTGCAGGGCTCGACGGCAGCGGACTCAAACCCGGTCTGCAAACACCGAGCCCACGCTCCTGAGTGCAAGCGATGGTGCATCTCTGTCCCCAGAAGCTCCAGACACAAATCTAAGTGACAAGGAAGCACACGTGGAGGGAAAGTGGCCACCTGCCAGACCGCACATCCCCCGCTAAAGGCTAGGTCTCCCCAGGCCCTCCCTTCCAAACACAAGCAGCAGCCCCCGCAGGCCCCCAGGCTCCCCTGGCGGCCGGAGCACAGCTCCCTGTCACCATCAGCACCCTCTCCAATCGCCGCCTCTGCACGCAGTCATGGCCGTCCTGCCAGCTTTGCTGTCTAGGGAGCAGAAGCAGTGTCATAAGCAACTTCCCAGTCTCGGGGTGCCCCGCTGGACGGCCCCGGCGTGTGAACGACAGGTCTGACCCGGGTCTGTGGACTCAGGCGCGCCCAGACTCACTACGGGAGGGGACACTGCTGTCGCCCATGCCACAAACACTTCCTGGACACCTACTGTGTGCCAGGCAGTGTTCTAAGGACATGCCTGTGAGAGCCGGGTAAGAGTCGAAGATTCTGGGAGGAGGAGGAGCTGTCTTTCAGAAACTAGCGTAACTCCGTGCCATGTAATAATTCAGTAACGCAACGGCTCCCTTCACTTTCTCCAAACTTCAAGAAACAGAAGGACCAAAAGGCCACCGGGTGAAGAGCTAGATTTTCTCCCGGGATCAAAGAAAAAGGAGGCCGCCTGACCTACTCGTGGGGAGGTCAGAAGGGCTCACCACCCCAGGGGACTAGGGGACTACAGCTCACGTTTGTTCTAAGTCCTCACCAAGCACAACGCCACCGTTCACAGCCTGCTTCCACATCCTCTACCCTCCTCCCCTCCCCTAGTGCCTCCAGGATCCCCTATGAGCAGGCGGTGGACACAGCTGCTTCTGAAACAGGATGTCCCCAAACTGACTCATAAGCTGTGATAAGGAGAAAGCAGAAGTCCTGCCCCTCACACAAGGGCTCTCAGACTTTTGTGAACATCTGCTCATGCGAACGGGCCGTATTTCCAGGGCTTCCTCAGCACCCCCGGCCAGGAGCCAACAGATGTTTCCCAGTCCAGTCTCAGGAAGGCAGAAGCACTTCTCTGCATCCTGTGTTCTGTTCTTCACAGACAAATCTCATTTTCCCTATAAAATATATGCAGTAACTGGCTGATAAGCATCCAGTCAGCTTCAAAAAGCCGATTTGACTCTTAATAAATACTTGTGGGACTCTAAGATATACAATCCCCGGTATCTAGAAAAATCACACATCCATTTATCCTTTACCCAGAAGTTTAGGTTGTAGGAAAGTATCCCCAAGATGCACTGGCGAAACCAGAAAAGGACCTGTGCTAAGAGTCTGCACTGTAGCATCAGTGAGGAACTGCTCTAAATTAGAAAGCTTAAGAGCCCTAAGAACCAAACCTTTGTCTGGATCCCAATTTGACCAAATCAACTATAAAACACACGTTTCTGAGATAATCATAAAAGTATGACCATGGGTTGAGCTTAGAGGCCACATGGAATCATAAATGTGATTAAGATGTAACAATGGCCCTGTGGTTATGGAAAGAAGGCCTGCGGCGTTTTAGAGAGGCATGCTCCACACACACACAGGGTGGTTTGTGTATGGGAGCTCGATACAGTGTTTTCTCAGCTTTTAAACGTCTCAGAATTTCCCTTAAAGACAAGCAATCCTACGTAGCCCGTGTTGTGAAGCGGTATCACTGCTCTGTAAGTCCTCCGTTAAGTCACCAACATGAAAACCTGATATTGTTACGGATCTAACCGTTGGTGTGACAGTTCGTACAAGAAAATCATACTGCAGGTTCTAAAAAAATATATACCTACAGTCAAAGTGTATACAAAGACTCACACAGGAAGTAGGGGTTACCTGTACACAGAAGTTACTCTCCTGCACCACGCCCTGGGGTGCTGGTTTAGAGACTAAGAAAAGCCACACTCATCTCTAAACCAGGAGTCAGCAAACTACCACCAGGGGCCAATTCCAGGCCCGCGCCTGCTGCTGGCAGTCACGTTCCCCGGGACGCGGCCACACGGGTAGCTGCCAGACGCCCGCGTCTGGGCGCGGTGGCAGCGCAGGGCTGAGCAGGAGCGGCAGGGCCATGCGGCCCGCAAAGCCTCGCGGACTTACTGTCGGGCCCTTGGCAGAAAGAGTCTGCAGGAGCTTTCCCTAAGTCCTCCCTGGAGACCCCGCGGGGTGACCCTGGTGCCACCAGCAGTGCAGCCAGAGAAAACGTGAGCTGTCACACAAGGCGCAGCACTGCACACGGCAAGGCCCAGGCAAAGCCAAGCTGCTGGGAGACCCACAGCTGGTGTCAAATTCCA